AATCTTCTTTTCTTCTATCCGACAATATAGAGATCCATTGTGTGTATTTCAGTAATATTCCCTTCTTCTTTGTGAGATTATCGAGACCAGTTGAATGTGTATCGGTAATTCTCCGTTTATTATTTGTCACAATATCGAGAACCATTGTGTGTTTCGGTAATCCTTCCTTTCTTCTTCCTGACAATATCGAGATCTATTAAGTGTGTATTTGTAATTCTTCCTTTCTTTGTGACTATATCGAGAGATATATTGACTTGATTCGCTAATTCTTCCTTTCAACCTTTTGACAATATCGTGATCTATGGAGTGTATTACGATAATTCTTCCTTTCTTCTTTGTGACAATATCGAGATCCATTGAGAGTGTTTCGGTAATTCTTCTTTTGTTCTTCCTGACAATATCGATTTAGTCTCTTTTGGTAATTCGTCCTTTTTTCTTTTAGACAATATCGAGATCTATTCAGTGTATTACGATAATTCTTCTTTCCTTTCTGACAATATCGAGATGTATAGAGTGTGTTTCGGTAATTGTTCTTTTCTTCTTTGTGACAATATCGTAATATATTGAGTGTGTCTCAGTAATTCTTCCTTTCTTTTTTTGTGACATTATCGAGATCTATTGAGCGTGTTTCAACAATTCTTCCTTTCTTCTTTGAGACAATATCGAAATCTAATGAGTGTGTATTGGTAATTCTTTCTTCCTTCTTTTGTCAACATCGAGATCTATTGAGCGTGTTTCAACAATTCTTCCTTTCTTTTTGAAAATAACGAGATGTGTTTCGATAGTTCTTCCCTTCTTCTTTGTGACAATATCGAGATCTATTCAGTGTATTACCATAATTCTTCCCTTCTTCTTTGTGACAATATCGAGATCTATTCAGTGTATTACCATAATTCTTCCTTCTTCTTTGTGACAATATCGAGATCTATTCAGTGTATTACCATAATTCTTCCCTTCTTCTTTGTGACAATATCGAGATCTATTCAGTGTATTACCATAATTCTTCCCTTCTTCTTTGTGACAATATCGAGATCTATTCAGTGTATTACCATAATTCTTCCCTTCTTCTTTGTGACAATATCGAGATCTATTCAGTGTATTACCATAATTCTTCCCTTCTTCTTTGTGACAATATCGAGATCTATTCAGTGTATTACCATAATTCTTCCCTTCTTCTTTGTGACAATATCGAGATTCATTGAGTGTGTATCGGTAATTCTTTCTTCCTTCTTTGTGATAATATCGTTTTTTACTATTCAGTTCATGCGAAAGTAGAGGGTAGAGGTAGAGAAATCCGAATGGGCGTCAGAGGGTCTCCTGGAAAGATTCCTCGCCGGATATTCAAATGTTTGGAAGTGGCAGTACCTTTGGTCTGATGCATCCATAATGTAGTTTTCCACCTCCCCATACTATATTTACAGAAATTTACTACCACCATAGAGACTTTTTACATTTCTAATCTTTAATCATCTGATATCCATGCTGACATTGGCACTAATATTTTGGTCGAGATATGGTCTAATTTCAATTCTTACCATATCTCTGAATATTTGGAATCTCTGGTCTGTTGTATTTATTATTACTACTACTACTACTACTGTTGTTGTTGTTATTATTATTATTATTATTATTATTATTATTATTATCTGTATATATTTCTGATATGAGGCGTTTTAACTATTTACACTGTTTACATGTTTCGGACTGTCGTCCTCATATTTATTTTCATATTCCCGAAGTTTCGTTCGTCGTACGCTCCGGCCTTCTTCAGGTGGTATACGTTGGAATTTAGAACCGAACCCTTTATTTAGTCCACCTGGGTAAATTGTTCTAATTCCACGCGCCATGTATTTCCTGGGTATCGCAGTTTCAGTTAATTTCCTTTAGTAACTTACCTCTCTTTTTGTTCATCCCTGCTGTGATCAGGTATTGAACTCACAGCTGTTTCGTTCAAATCACTTTTCAGATTACTTTAATCCAGCGGGCCACGTGCCTTTGGTATATCGAGAAAAAAATGGCGCTTGAAATTAGAACAATCTATCACTGTGGACTAAATAAAGCGTTCCATTCGAAATTCCAAAGTATATCGCCTGACGATGGCCGGGGCGTACAACGGCCGAAACGTCGTGAATAAAGTTGAGGACAATAGTTCGAACAATGTAAATAGTGTAAATATTATTTTATTTCCTTTGGTTTCTGGGGTATACTCTTTTCTTTTCGGGTTTCGACCAGAGACCTAAGGTCAGAAATGGCATCATGACATTTTCCATTGAGCATTTTTTGAAGAAATAAAAACAAAAAAACAAAAACAAATCAAACCTATGATCAAACATGTACATAGATAAATCCCTTCGTAAGGTGTGGGCTGTATTTCCGAGTACATTTTTTGTATTTCTTTAAGGATTGGGTTACCACAAATCCCTTCAATGTATCTATTCGGATCTTTTCTAGTCATTTTAAACACTCCAACTACAATTTGATTTGGATTTGTTGATTATTATTATTATTAATAATATATTCGTTTTTCTCTGTAACAAGTTCAACAGAGATTGTTTGAATGTTCTGGCATGTAGACTTGAAATATGACTCGACCACGACACTAGAGGGATAGCTGGGCATTTGAACCCCTCACTTTCGACTAGAACTGAAAACTAAACAGAAGACTGCCTTCTTGGCTTCAGTTTATGACAACGGCATTGAGCTGTGTTATGACATTTTCCCAAAACTTTACTGCGATTACTTTTCAAAATAAATATTAGAACTCTTTATATATATATATATATATATATATATATATATATATATATATATATATATATATATATATATATATAATGCATGTTTCATTAAATAATATAGGCAAGTTTTTGTCTATTTATTTTAAGTAAATTCCTTTCTTATTGTCGAATAATCTTTTTAGCATTATCACTGAAACACGAAAGCAAATCACCATGTTGACACATGTTTTTATTGTTAAACCTGTCTAAGCTTTCGGTTTACATAAGCCATCATCAAAAATTACAAGTACGTTATAATAAATTAAATAATAAATTATATAATAAATTAAATAATAAAGATGGTAATTTTTGTTTTAGATTGGTTATGCGGACATTGAAATAATGATAGTTTTGTTTGCATGGAAGATTGCTATGCAACGATAAATTTATATGATGGCTTATGTAAGCCGAAAGCTTTAACAGGATTAACAATAAAAACATGTGTCAACATGGTGATTTTCTTTCGTGTTTCAGTGATAATGCTAAAAAGCTTATTCGACAATATGAAAGGACTTTACTTAAAATAGACAAAACTTGTCCATATTATTTAATGAAACATGCATTAATGAAAAATGTTGCCTAAATACACACAATATATATATATATATATATATATATATATATATATATATATATATAAAAAATCTTTTATAAATATATATATATTTATACAATATATATATATATATATATACATATATATATATATATATATATATATATATATATATATATATATATATATATATATATATATATATATATATATATATATATATATATATATACAAATTGTTTAACAAATATGTTTACAAATTGTTTCCCTTATCCCTTATTGAAATAATTGCTTCAGCCATTTCCATAGTAATTAATTTTACGTATCAACATGCTTATAAAGATGCGTAAATTTCAAGATTAGTTATTCCTAAAATTTCGCTTGAGGATGAAACAGAGCTTGATACTTTAATTCAATTTAATTTTAATAATTATATTGAAGTTTTTGGCTCTCGTTTTTGAAACATGAGAACTCTTATGTAGCGAAGGAATCATATTTTTAAAAAATAATTTTAATTTAGGCTCTACTTATGTACTGTTTTTTTTTTTTTTTTTTTTAAATAAAAACAAAAATACTAAAGAACTTCGGGTTATTTACCTAACGTGTTCTTTCCTATTTTTCTATATATTTGCACCCCCCCACACACAAATACACACATGCTTTAAAAAGGCTATAGATTCCATTGTAGAAATTAAGTACGAACATTGTGCATTTAAAATCAAATCAATATATGCAGTAGGATAATAGATTGACAAAAATCGGTTGTATAAGCGGATCAGAGAAAAACTTATAGAATCAGAAATTATTTAAAACTTCTGATTTAACACCTCACGCCCTCTTGTAATATTTGTATTTAACTTTCATTTTTAGCCTTCGGTTTAACCCTCCTTTAATATCTTATTATGCCCTTCTACTTTTAATATCTGATTAGACCCCCCACCACCACCAACAACAACAACAACAACCTTCTATTTTAAAACATATTTAACATCTAATTTATTCTCCCGACATTTTATTTTTTGTACCCTGCCTCTGTTTAACGAGAATAGTTTTTTGTTCGAACTATTTGAATAAGCTGCAGCGTTCTCGATATGTATTTACAACGCTGAGTTGTTTTTTTTTTTTGGTCTTTTTTAGCGCTTCATTGCAAGTGTGCGAAATCAAATCTCATATTACATTAGAAGGTGCCTAGCAGCTGCCTTTCTTAAGCAATGTTTCATCGCCGGACTTGCAGGCTAGTAAATAAATAAGAAAATAGAAAAAAGAGCGTACGAAAGACACGATAAGCAGCACCTCAATTCTTGCTTGCTTTCTCTTCCTTTCCTGACCTTACAGAAGAAATTGCAACATTCCTAGCCGCTCCCCGCTATACCCAACCCCACTAGCTGGTCGGTCAGTCAGCAGGCTTATTAACTGGTCAACAGTGGAACATCGAGTCGGTGTAGATGCACACTGTCCGTCGCTGCTTGCAGCGGGCGGCAACAATAGCAGTCGATGCATAGGGGGAAGGAAATGGCGTCAAACGCAGCGGCAGTGGCAATTCAGGGGAAAGATTGCGTTTCAAGAATTGTGAGACGAGTCCGGCCACACCCGACTTGTTTTGTGACGGCACAGACTGCAGCTAAGAGTACGGTTGTACTTTTAAATGATCGTACTCGCAAAAGGCGATGGAAAGGTAATGCGATTTCGGAAGACAGACCCGAATGTCTTCTTCTTCTTCTTCTTCTTCTTCTTATTATTATTATTATTATTATTATTATTATTATTATTATTATTCCCGCTTCCATAACATGTCCTTTCCCTCTTTTTTATAATCTATCTCTCCTTTGTCCCCCACAGTCTTTCTCTCTTTCTTCCTTCCTTACTTCTTCCTCTACTCTCCTTTTCTCTTAAAGAAGACTATTCTTTCTTTCTTTCTTTCTTTCTTTCTTTCTTTTAATTTTTCCTAATTCCTTGCCTTCAATTTTTCTTTATTTCTTTCCTTTTTTCTTTTTCCAAACTTTCCCTTGTTCCATAATTTGAATTTTGCTTTCTTTCTTTCCGAATTTTTTCCACTTTCTTACTTTCAGTTTTGTCTTGTTTGTTTGTTTGTTTATTTCTTTCTTTCTTTCTTTGTTTCTTTCCTTTCTTTCTTTCTTCTTTCTTTCTTTCTTTCTTTTATTTGTTCCTTTCTGTATTTCTCTTTTTTTTTCTATTTATTTATTTATTCTATTTGTTCCTTTCTGTGTTTTCTTTTTCTTTTCCATACCATTTTTTGCCTTCTTTCTTTTTTCTTTCTTTTTCTTTCTTTCTTTTCCCGAATTTTTCTTTAATTCTTTCCTACCATCAGTTTTGCCTTCTTTCTTTTTTTTTGTTTCTTTTCTTTTTTCTTTTTTCCTAATTCCTTGCCTTCAATTTTTTTTTCTTTTATTTTCTTTCTTTCTTTTTCTTTTTCCAAACTTTCCTTGTTCCATAATTTGAATTTTTCTTTCTTTCTTTCGAATTTTTCCACTTTCTTACTTTCAGTTTTTACCATCAATTTTGTTTGTTTGTTTGTTTATTTGTTTCTTTTCTTTCTTTCTTTCTTTCTTTTTTCTTTCTTTCTTTCTTTCTTTACCATTTTTTTTCTTTATTTGTTTTTTCTTTCTTTATTTCTTTCTTTTTTCTTTATTTATTTATTTATTTTATTTGTTCCTTTCTGTATTTTCTTTTTTTCTAATTCCATACCATCATTTTTTCCTTTCTGTTTTTCTTTTTTTCTTTCCATACCATCAATTTTCCTTCTTTCTTTCTTTTTTTTCTTTCTTTCTTTCTTTCTTTCTAATTCCATACCATCAATTTTGCCTTCTTTCTTTCTTTCTTTCTTTCTTTCTTTCTTTCTTTCTTTCTTTCTAATTCCATACCATCAATTTTGCCTTCTTTCTTTCTTTCTTTCTTTCTTTCTTTCTTTCTTTCTTTCTTTCTTTCTTTCTTTCTTTCTAATTCCATACCATCAATTTTGCCTTCTTTCTTTCTTTCTTTCTTTCTTTCTTTCTTTCTTTCTTTCTTTCTTTCTTTCTTTCTTTCTTTCTAATTCCATACCATCAATTTTGCCTTCTTTCTTTCTTTCTTTCTTTCTTTCTTTCTTTCTTTTTTTTCTTTTCTTTCTTTCTCTTTCACGTTTCTGTCTTCATTATCTCATGCATTTTTTTTTATCTGAAAATATTTGTTTCCCTTCTCAGTAGGTTTATGTATTTATGCAATCCAGATTAAACTTTGATAGGAATCGGAAAAAAACACATCCGTACACATTCTGCCTTTTTTTCTCCACCACACGCACACACACACACACACACACACACACACACACACACACACACACACACACACACACACACACACTTCTGCATTTCAAGAACAACACAGATAAATATACACTTATACCCACGCATGGGGCAAAACAGAGATATCTATAAAACTAACCGTGAGTTTGGCAAATATGAAGCTGAGATGTCACACAACGCGGCGCGTGACTTTTGCTGAGTCCCTGTATAGAATTCTGAATTTAAGGAAATTGGAAATCAATTATAAAGTATAAAAGGAAGAAGACATTATGAAACGTATTCTGGAATGGTTTTGACTGATTCCAGCATTACACGGAGAGATGGGAAGTTTTAAATCACGGACTAGATCACCCACTCGAAGCGAGGACCATAAAAATAGCTGCCCTACGATATAGCTTTTTTCACTTTTAAAATTCTTTTTAAATTTACCAACGGACAACTGAATTGATAGCGGTTAGTCTACAAAGCAAAAAAAATTCTATTAGCAATAGCATGACGGGCCATTTCAAAAGCTTAAACTGATTTGTATTTTACGGCTTATCAACCTTTTTAAAGTCAGAAAATATTTTTTAGATTGTCAGAAGTTTTGGAGATAATAAGGATTTACTGATACAACTTCTACTACTTAACTCATAGCTGGAGAGAGAAGAGGTAGATTCATGCCGTTCGCAGGGCTATTTGCGTGTAAATGAATGTAATAAACTCCACGGGAATTGGAACTCTGTTCTCCGAACCATTATCCATTAAACCAGCCACACGTACAGCGCTCCGTATTCTCACGCGGTCACCCATCTAAGTACTGGCCAAGCTCGACGTTGCTTAACTTCGGTGATCTTATGAGACCCGGTGTTTCAACGTGATATGGCCGTAAGCCATCTTAGAGAGTATCTAATATTCTAGAGAAACATTAAAAGGAAGATAAATGCGATAGGCGATTAGGACCAAAGACATGAACGCATCATCGCTCTTATCTATAAACGTTGAACTGATTCAGCTTTGTCCCTTTGGCTACAGAAGAAAATGGCGAATTAGCTCGTTGACCAAAACAGGATCTTTTCTGCTAATTCATTTAAAAATATTAATTCACGCAAAAATAAAATATATATATATTTTTTTTTTCTAAAATTCACAACAAATTCCTCCTATCATTGCACTCCGGTTGGGTTGACTTTTGAGATTGCGCTAAATGTGGGTGATTCGGGTGCGATATTTCTAAGTGTGGGGGTCTGCATCCGCGCTCAACCCGATAAACAAGCCAAAAAAAAAAAACAAAAAAAAAAACGATTGTTTTCTTTTAATTGTAAAAGAATTGTTGTAAATACCGCGAATATCATCTGAACTTACAAAATATGAATAACTCCCTGATTTTTGGTAATTTTTCATTTTCAGGGTTGGAGTTGTTGTGAGGCAAGCTAAACAAATATTGATTTGAAATTTATAATATCAAAAGAGTGTCAAAAATTTGATAAAAAAAACTTTGATTTCAAATTTATAATTTCTTGTGCTGAATTAATATTTGCGCTAAGTAACTTTTCATTTACATTTGGGGTGAATTAACAGAAAAGATCAACAAAACATTCCCTTGTTATATGGGGATTTTCTAAATAAATAAATAAATAAATAAATAAAAATAAAAAAAGGACTCTCCAATGGACTAATTTTTCTATCACATACACATCTGTAGCCGTGGGTGACAACCAATCTCATAGAAGGAAAACTCTAAATTCTAAACCATGGAGAATTCAGTGGAGAACCACTCTATATTTCGAAATAAATAATCTATTTCCTCCGCTACTATGGATTAAATTATAGGAATTGTATCTGGAAAAATCATTCTTAATCACGAGAAAATTATTAATATTCATTCGAAAAATTATTACAATCCAAAATAAATTTCAGCTTTAAATAACGTACAACGAGTTGGTAAGATGTAAAAAAAAAAAATCAATCAATCCAAATAAATATATTAAAGAAAATAAAGCTGTGGAGAGCCATAATCGCCTATGTCCTGAAGGGACAATGTATTTTAAAAGAAATCTTTACTCCATGTAATTAACATTCACCAATAATTTTAGTGCGCTACCAAAGGATCAATGAATATTTGTAAAATAAATGATTTATAGTGATGACTAAAGCAAGAAAATTCAAGGCAAAGAAAATTCAAGCATTGTTAAAAATAGGCAAAGATTCAGAATATACTGAACAAAGAAAATCGTTAAGTCATATTTTTACGAGCCAATGAGAAACAAGATCTGTACCAACAAGTATTTGACGTCACAGACCTACGAGCCAATCAAAACTCAAGCGGCAATTCCCAAACGTATCTTTGTTCAAGAAGATATCTATATAAAGAGTTAGATAGCCCAGTCTCAGTTGGGATGATTTTTATCAGTTCTCCGATGCTGGCTGCCATCTTAAAGCACCACAGAACGAAATTACACATCAGAACCAAATTAATTACATAAATTTGCAACGCACACTCTCGCGCATAAATACGCATATGTACATCATGTCATTGAATTCAAATCATCTACAACAGCTTCCACAGATGACTAATATCGTACGCGCTTACACATTACAGTAGATTGATTTTTTCCCCTTTACACTCGATGTCAAAGTTGGGGTTTCATGTATTAAGTACTGACACCAAAAGTTAGATTTATGGCTTTTACTAATTTTTGAGTATTTAGTTTTAAATAGCGTCTGAAAAAATGTACAAAAATACCTAATTTCCGCAGGTCATTTCTTACAAATTATTCATTTCTTTTTACTGTATCCGGTAAGTAAAAAAGGTGAAAAAATTGTAAAAGATTACAAAAAGACTACTCAGTGATTAAAATTTTTTAGATCATTTGTTAGATCTTACTTATTATAAAACGCAGATTGTGTGTGTGTGTGTGTGTGTGTGTGTGTGTACGTTTATATATTGGATCGGATTTCCTACATTTTTCAACTGATTTCAACAAAACAGGACTGCGTAAAATTACCTTGCGGTGGTTCTAACAGCGCCAAAAATTGGAAAAACACAATTGTTTTTGCACGAAATCAATTTGAAAACACGATAAAACACGATTCTCTTGCCAGAATGAAAGGGGAACAACTCATATCGAGTTATACTTATTATAAAACCTAGGTTGTTTGTGTGTGTGCGTGTTCGTTTATATATAGGATCGGATTTCCTACATTTTTCAACCGATTTCAACAAAACTTCACTTTTTTTTGGCAGGTAGTGTTTCTTATTGTCTTGCACACTTTTTTCTTTATTTTTACATTCAGAATGCTTTAAAAATTCCATTTATAAGACAATTGTTTATAATAAAATTCTATTCAATCGATAGAATCATAATGATTGAAAAGAATGTTTTTGTTTTAGTTTGGGTTTGACCAATTCGTAAAAAAACCCCAAAAAACAACAAAAAAAAAAAAAAACTAATTAAGACATGCGTGTACGTCAATCTTAAACAATAATCTTTGTCAATTTTATTTTTCAGTCTTTATGATGGTCGATACTTGATCTATCTCTTACTGTTACATCCCCGGGCAACGACGGGCTCTACTGCTAGTAATTAATAAAATTTAGATATAAGTGTATATAACACCACAATACTGCTGGGTACAAATTATAAGACAAAATGTTTCAAATTTACATTGTTTATTTAAAATCACACTAAAACTACTGCATCATAATATAGCTAAATTGTTCAGTATAATTTCCCTTTGAAGTAAACGATAGCACGATGATTTAGTAATAATGTGCTTGTACCATGCATCTTGTCCGTATACAATTTTTAAAGCTTCAATAAATTTTAAATTTGATAAGGCTGTGCTCTAAGGATTTTACTGATCACCGGGATGAAATACCCAGGCTACGATTTTGAACTTAAACTCGTTTTCTCAAAAAAATGTTTACGATTTGGAAAATAATATTTTGTTTCTTTATTATCATGTCAAACTTCAAGTTTCAATACCACGGTCCCAAAAACTATCTGCCCCGTTACAGTTATATTCTTAGGCATACACACTAGGATGTACTGTTTACGACCATATTACGTTGAAACATTGGTTCTCGTACGACCATGAAGTTAAGTAATGTCGACCCTGGTCTCTACCTAGATGGATAACCGCTTGAACATACCAGAAGCTATAAGTTTGGATGTGCGGGTGATGTTATGGATAATAATTTGGAAATCGGAGAATCGACCTCCAGTCTGTTTTTTTTTATATTCACTTAAGCGCAAATGTACTTGGGAAAGGTAGGACTCCACCTCTTATCCCCCAGCTATAGGTTAAGTATTAGGGTTTGTATCAGCAAATTTTTATCTCCCAAGAAATTCGTACAATGTAAAACTGTTCTGGTTTTAAATAACCTGAAAAAAGTCGATAAACCGTAAAAAAAACAAATCAAATCAAATATACTAGGATCTTCATCTTCGAATACAGTAGAAATCTAAATTAATCGACCCTCCCGTCTGTAAATAATTCATTGAAATGTTTTGCCCAAATGTTTTGCTGAAATGAAATATCTTATTGACTGTCCGTCTCTTCACAAGGTCTCTTCTGTATATGGTGAGGAACGATGTTACTAAAAAGGTAACAAGGCCGGATTTAGGACTTAGAGGCCCCATGGATTAATATAACTTGGAGGCTCTTTCATTACATATGTTGCCCCCCCCCCACTCCACCGTGTTTATAAAAAAATGTTATATCTTCAGATGATGTTATTTTTGGTATAAAACATGAAGCATTTCAACTAAAATTTTTAATGATTTTGGAACTCATCCATTAGCAACTTCATGATATTTTTAATCCGAACTTTGCATCCTACCTTGAATGAAGGGCCTGTATTAAATTCTAGTATACAAATTCACTAAAGCATCCTAAAACACGTAAAGATAGAGGAGAAGGAAAATTCTGACTTGCTACGGCCTTGTGATCCTAGATCACCACAGCTGAAAAATTGTTTAATTATATTTATTGTTAAAATTGACAACTTCGAATATCCAAGTTTGTGGTTATAAATCTGTTGTATAGAAATAAAGTGTCGTTATCGACACTGCAGTTTGAACACAGATCACCAGTGATCAAACACGAACGATTCCATTATTAAATAAGTAGATCACGCGATCATAAACGAAACATATAAATTGAAATTAGCGTGACGTCTAAGGCATTGCTATTCTCTATACCATCCACTATAGCATTTCTCTATACTGATCATTATACGAATTCCTATTCGGTGATTACTATTTGAACAAGTATTATTAGTGCGAGTATTATTTGAAGGCGTTACTACTACCAGTATCTGCGTTTACAAAGTCTCGTCTACAAGGAGCATTTCGGGAGTGATAACGAGCATTCGTTGACCTAACGAAGTTACAACGAGTCAGCGCCTAACATCACAAAAAAAAAAATAAATAAAAAATAAAAAAAAATCAGATAGAAAATAACAAATCGTTGGAGTGTATCACCTTGTAATAAAAGATAATGACTTCAAGGTCCCCATCGAATTAAAAAAAAAAAAAATTAATCCAACTAGAGGGGTCCAAATAATCTAAATTGTTTCAAATTAGTTCAAATCTAAATTGTTTCAAATAAGTTCTTACTTATTATAAAACGAAGATTGTGTGTGTGTGTGTGTGTGTGTGTGCGTTTATATATTGGATCGGATTTCCTACATTTTTCAACAGTTTTCAGCAAAACTTGACAGGACTACGTAAAATTACATTGCGTTAGTTCTGACAGCGCCCAAAATTAGAAAAACACAATTGTTTTTGCACGAAATCAATTTGAAAACACGATAAAACACGATTCTGTCGCCAAAATGAAAGGGGGACAACTCATATCGAGTTATACTTATAAAATCCAGGTTGT